TTCAGAGTAATTTTGTTTGCTTCAGTAAGTTTATTTGCTCTTTGTCCTTGTTAAACAATGTAAACTACAGTGGTGTGTATCTGCTGTAAGCACGAGAATGGTCTTGTTGCCTTAGTTAGGAATGTTCTCTATTGCAGCCTAATATCCATTTTAGTCCTAGAAGAAATAGAATGTTGGGGGTTTTTCCACTATATTTAAGAAAGAGGGATTTAATGAACCACAGGACAGGATATTTTGTAAAGTATATGCACATTCAGCTCTTTTTCTTGGTTAGGAACATGCCATTGGCATGGAAAAGGCTCAAGTAATTGCTTTTGGAAGAGCATGGTCTTCAGCAAGAACAGAACAAACTTTCTGCTCAGTTGTCTTTGTTTTGCAGTACTGAAAGTTTGAAAGCTCATTACATGTTTCACCAGAGCCAAACCTGGGCCCTGTTAGTTGCTCTGCATAGATTAAGTGGTTAACAATGTTTTGAGAATGTTGGGCTAAATAGTTTGTGGGAACACCATCTGTTTCCTTTAACACATAAACAAGGAAAATTGCTGGTTTGAAATGCAGGATTATTTAAACTTTGATGACCACAGGCATTCTTAAAAGAGAAGAGGTAAAAGGAAAAATAATCCTCATGAGGTATGAAGTTCAATGACATTTGTTAGGAAATAAATTTCTGAGTACTAGACAGGGCTGCTATCCCTGTTCTAGAAGTGAGACAAGGGGAATGTTTTCTTTGCAGTCACCTACTTCCTTTTAAAGTCCATCTTCAAAAGTTAACTGCCATCAAAAATGAAAACCATAAAAAATGGTTCAATAATGCATTGAAAGGGCTGAGCATCCCACCCAGAAGCAGCAAGTTCTTTTAATATATTTATGGGTGAATATCCAAAATCAAAAGTTACTTTTGACTGGGTTTGGTACCTTTCTTACTTCATCAGCCCAGCTACCTTTCTCTTCCTGATTTGGAAGAAGCAGTGCAACCACATGTTCTGAAGTCCCATGTGAGGTCATGTCTTGGGGAAATGAGACTAAGAACAAATGCTCCTCATTTTCACTTTGTCAGGTAGTGTGGGTATTCTTTTAATTACGGTTACAAAATGTTTACTGGAGATAACGTTTTGGTGATGAGCTGCTTCTGTTGTGAATTGACTAGGAACAAGCAGTCCAGAGGCATGTTTAGCTTAACAAAAAGGGTTGGAAGAAAAGGTACAACAGGAAACATTCTTGTACTCAGTAAAGACCCAATTAGCATCTCCAGGGAATTTTATGATGAAATTGTTCACAACATGTTGTTACTGGACAATAATCCTCCACACAGGAAAATATACCTGAGTCACTGGAAGAAAAAAGTTGTTTTTCATGTTATCAACAAACTTTGGTTGTTGCTGGGTTTCTTGAGGTCATACTTTATGCCTTTCTTATGGCTTTTTCAGAAGCCTAAAAAGGAGCATTTTTATTTGGAAAATAAATGTCACCTAAAGCAGAGCGGCCCTGCAGACAGCTCAGGTCTTCTGTCCACAGTCACTCATGTAGGCAGACTGGACTCCTGAATACCCAGAATCAGGCATTTTGTGTTTTAACCTCTCACTTCCTTTGACAACAGCTGGAAGCACCCACAGAAAGAGTTTGTTTCAACCAAATAAAGGAGTGAGGCTGTTTGACCACTGCTTCAAGTTGGTCGGGTCTGGGAGAGTGCAAAAGTGTCAAGACAGATGATATAAAAAGTGTAACTCTGAGTAAAACTGGCTTCCTTCATCTGTCCTGTCTAGCCTTAGTGTAGCTTTTTAGAATTGTATCACAGCACAGTAAATAAAACCAGCAGCCTTGTAGTACTGTAAACCTTTCATATGCCATCTGGTATGTCAGCATTTTTTGAAAACTGGGAAGGGTCTCTAAAGATAAGCTACAAGAGTAAATGCAGCTGCATGTATGCAGAATGAGGGAGAATCTTTCTGCAAATGCTGAGCATGAGCACAGCTTCTCTTCCATGTGTGTTCCAGGCTCCACAGTGCAAGGATATCATCTGCTTTGCAACCAGAGATTCTTCTTGCAAAAGCAATGTTCACCTACAACAACCATGTTTAACAAGAAGAGCAAGTGGTTTTACATGCATGTACTTAGGGACGTGGCTTAGTGGTGGACTTGGCAGCATTAGGTTTGTGGTAGGACTCAATGATCTTAAAGGTCTTTTCCAACTTTCTGTGATTCTATGGCATATTAACTGTGCTGCTCAGATCAGCTCCCTTTTTATATTAGAGGCCTGTGATTTTGCTCATGGAGATTAATTCTCTGAGCAAGAAGAGAGTGGTGGTGCCTTGTATCCTGAATGAGTTTTGTCCTAAGATGCGTAGTACAGTTACTGTCGAGCCTGCTTAAAGACACTTCTCTAAAGTGCTGTGCAAGCCTTTTAGAGCTATGCTAAAGCTTCTGTAGAGGTGCCATCTGTTGCCTTCACGGGCAGGACTGTCAGAAGCATCACACATCTGAGACCTGGAGAAGATCGGGTCACATTTTACTCCTGCTCTGGATTTAGGATGTAGTTTGGCTTCTGGAGTCGAACACAACTGAGCAAAGGGTTATAAAAATTTCAGACTGAGGGACCAATATCTGTCCTTTTGGAGCCTGACATCGCCTGACTCCTGCTTTGCCTGGCTAGGCAACAACCATCAGGTAAAGCAGAGACAAACCACAGCAGTGCACTGGTCCTCCCTACTTCCAAGACTGCGAAGAGCATCTTGCTGCCTGCCATGAACACCACATTGTTGCTTTTCTCTGGGATGGTCAAGCAGTTTCCCAGCATATTAGCAAGCAGCCTAATGCCACAGTGTTCACAGCAGCAGAAGGGCTCATGGAGATGGGCTACCCAGGAAACAGCCCTTTGTTTTTTACTGTACATTGTCTGTTCTCCCAGAGAAACACTTTTGAACACCCAGTGACTCATTATTGAAGCAACTTCATGATTGTAATTTTTGAGCCCCTGGAAGGAACCTCTGAGTAAACATTGCTTAAAACCAAATCCTTCTGTTCTTGGGTAGAAAGCATTTGACTGGCAGCACACAGCTGGGAAAAAAGAAAAGGATGCAAAATATATATGTCAAACTATGCTAGTCTGATCACTAGCCCTCACTGGCAGAAAAAGCATGAAGAAGTGATGTTGATACAAGTTAGAATTTTCTCAGGCAAACAAAATAATCCCAGTATTACATGAGAGTGGCCTGGGAGGGATAATGTCTGAAGTGATCCATTATTGGAAGCTTCCAGTAACTTCAGAAAGAACTTCTTTAAAAGTTTTGCCTGTGGATACCTTTTACAATGCAGCAGGTGACTCCATGGAAGAGGAACAGTCTCTCATAAATGTAATACATTTTTAGATTCTTTTTAAAAAAACTTGTACATTTGTAAGCCCTATTAACCACACACACAATTTAGCAGGAGTTCTCTCACTGAGAGAACTGACCCAGCGGTGAACTGACCCAGCACTCTGGAGACTCTGTCGCTTCCAGTTCCTGTCTTCAGTTGCTTATTCAAGGAAGAGCAGTTGCAAAACCCACTGTCTTCCCCCACTGCCAGGCATGAATGTTTCTCCTTCCCTTAAGGCACATGCAGTCAGTGCAGTGGGTGGTGCTGCCAGGAGCACTGCCTTGGGCTACTCACATTGAATCAAACCTGTGTGCTGGTATGCTGGTAGGGCAGCCACCTCAGAGGGAGGATTCAGTGATTGTTTCATGGTACAGGGACAGATTGCCCAGCAACGTCTGGGCAGCAGGTGAAAAGAAGGAAAGACTCCGCTGTAAACATAGCAGAGAGGAGGTAGCAGGTTAGCATGAGGGACTTTCCCTGAAGACCTCAGTCAAGCAAAACTCACTCTGAAATCTGGCTCCTTACAGCAAAAACTGTAACAGGTTTTTGACTGAGCATTTGGGGTCAGTCTTGGTTACATTTTCAAAGACAGTTAGGTAGCTGTGGTACAAAACTTTCCCCGGCTGAGTACAAAGCCACATTTTGTATGAGCCTATGTAATTTGCCATTTTATGCCTTTGGGTTACAATATTTATATTTTTTTCTTAGAGCTAAGTAGTACCAGCAGAAGTTAAGTTGTCAGCCTTTCTACTACAAACCCAGCTCTTTTTTGGGGTTAGGTAACATTTCTTTTGTACCACATTATACTGAAATTCTGCCGTGCAGATGCTGTCCAAGACATAAGGCATTTATTTTTCACAAGATTTTATTTGAAGTCATTAGGGTAGTTAATGGTTTACAAAATGTCCAAAAATGTAAATTCTAAGCTTTTCTGTTTTTCAGAGGCTGTTATTTCATTATATACTTGAAGAATGGCTTAACATTTCCCATCTCTTAGCCGCTAACATAGAAAAACCAGAGACAGCAAAATTGAACGTCCTGCTTTGGAAGGTTTAAGCATAGCCTTTCTACGTAAACGATTTTCAAAGCCACAGCTCACACTCAGTTCTCCAGGATGTTGTGCTATGGAGCACAGTAACATAAGAAATCCTGCCATAGGAGGTGGGAAATACCCCCGCAAGTAAGGGGGTAGATTCCCAGAGTGTAAACCTTGTATTTAAAGCCTCTGACAATAAGTGGGGACACACACTTATTCGGATGAGCATGTACACAGCCCTGATCTCAGCAAGTGGGTGGTGTAACCATCACCTCGTGTGGGCTATGCTAATGGGAGATCAATGGGAAGAAGGGACCAAGCTCTCAGACCTGCTGGAGAATCTGTGCTTGACAAATGGAAGATATTGTAGAGCAGTAGCAAGCAGACATGTCAGGACTGGTCTGGAAGGAAAAGATGGTGCATTTGTAGCTACTAACAGTCATATTATGGTGTTCAGCTCTCAGAAGTGTATGCAAGACTGGTGTTTCTAACATTGCCACATGAAGCGTGAACGTTAATAGGACTAGATTGTTTATACCCTGTACAGTAACAAAGAGAACATGCCAAGATCCTCAGAGACTTACATTTCCTTGTTTCCTTTTATCCACAGGTAATAACGCCCGTGAGGTCAGGACAAGGTTATGTTTATGAACTCCCTTCCAAATACCAGAAGGATACCTACGATATCCCCCCTGTTCGGCCTCTCCAAGGGGTAGGTACCAATAAAAGTGCCAACAGGGCTGACAGGGCACAAAGGGTGATGAATTTCTACCAGAATTTTACGAGCAGTGCAAATTCTCTCATTTCAGAGGGAAAATATGTTTTAATTAGATGCTGTGGCTTATTCACAGATCACAGAAGTATTTCAAAGTTGTATTTGATGTTGACTAAGATTTGGCAGCACACCAAACGCAAAAGTCCCATTTGTTCTCTGTGTTTTGATCAAAGAGTATATCTAAACAGAATAAACTTGCTGCCTGGGAACAATTTTTTTTCTGTACTTTGTTGTTGCATAGTTGACAGTAATTCACTCAGTAAGGGTAAAATTATCGCCTAGATGAACAGCTGCTATGCAGGGAGTTGTTTTCACCACATATCAACTGCACCATGTCACTGAACTTGAAATATATCTTTGTTCTGGGAAACACCTTTAGCATTCAATCCCCAAGACCACAATGTAGAGTGGATGCTTGCAGAACCTGTAACTCAACAACCCTGTATCTCTCCAGAGCTCTCTGACAGAGCACGTCCTTGAGGGAAAAGTGTTGAAATCCAAAACTACCTAACACCAATTGGCTGGAGTCATTAGGAAGTCTGGGTTAAGAGACATTCAGACAGTGGCCTCAGACCACATGCAAAACCCTCTGTAATGTAGGACAAGCCACCAAGTCCAATGCTTGAAATACCTGACAGCTGTACTGTCTGCTAGAAAGGCAGCTCACACTGCACTCGATAAAGCAGATGGGCGATGCCGACAGGGACAGCATTAGTTTCAGAGAGTTTAGGGTGTACTAGTACAAGCTTATTCCTCAACCCCTCTAATCTCTGTCACTATGTCTGTGATCAGTTCTGGTCACATGTGCTCCCCTGTTCACCCCAAGAGGTACCCATAGTAGACTGACCTTCATTTAACTCTCAGCTGTGACTTCATCTCTCCAGCCTGCTGTCCACACAGTTGCCCAGAGAAGACCTAGCAAAGTGCATTTCCTCCCAGCTGTCCAAAATACCAGGCAAATCCAAGCAGTTCTCCCATATGAAACAAGCTAGAAGAGCTCTGATCCTGTTCAGAGTGTTTGAGAGGAAACACAGAAACTAAGAAAACTCACCTGAGATCAGAGCTTTCCCTGAGGTGACTGTAACCAATTTATTCTTTCTTCAGGTATATGACATTCCCCCCACATCAGTTAAGGGGCCTGCACTTCCAGTTCACATGGGAGAAGCAAAAGCTTTAGGAGTGTATGACGTACCACCTGCCAAAGGGGTAAGTATTACTCTGTTTCCACAAGATCCTGTATTTTCGTATCTGACCAAAGACATGTTGAAACAAAAGTCCATGTATAATCCTGAAGGAAAAGGAGATTCAGTACTTCAAGGATTTCCTTAGGTTCTTAAACTGTTAAAACTGGTAAAGTGAGGCACTGCCCCAAAATTAAGGTTATGGACTATGAATTGATAATTAGACCTACACTATCTTTGTGGCAGCATGCTGTCTCTTTGGATCTTGCTGCCTATGACAATTGCATCAAGATAAATGATAAAAAGTGAGATGTTAAAACTGACTCTGAGTCAAACTCAGGGTAAGTAGCTGACTCTTTGAAAGGCAATAGCAGATCTTCCATCCCATCATTTTATAGGCCGTATGTAAGGTATAACCATGTGTTTTTCTAGTCAGAGGTTTCATGGTTTACTTTCTCTCATTCAGGTCTATGCTACACCTCAATCTGCATGCCAAGATGATACAGGCCTGAGGGAAAATTTGCAGGATTTTTCATCTTCACTGGGCCACAGTGTAAGACCAGAAGGAGCATATGATATTCCTCCTCCGATCACCAAAGCAACTGGAAAAGAACTTAATAGATTTTCCCCTGAGAGCCTGTTATTGCCGGGTGGAATGCCACAGACACAAAGTGTTTATGACATCCCTATGAACCATCAAAACCATTTTCTTGGACAGCAAATTGCAGCTGAAAAAGATGTTTATGATACCCCGAGGGGCATTGCATTTCCAGGACAACAGGCAGGACTCAGTAAAAGTCTCATTGCAGAAGGAAGAGAAGGTGTATATGACGTGCCACCAGCAGTCCTCCAAGACAATAGAGGCTTACAGGATGTGACTGATGGGATGAATAGGTTGTCTTTCTCCAGTACAGGAAGCACAAGGAGTAATATGTCCACATCTTCAACAACATCAAAAGACTCTTCTTTTTCAGCATCAACTGCACAGGACAAAAGGCTAATCCTTGATCCAGACACTGCTATAGAGAGGCTTTATCACCTCCAGCAGATGGTGGAGACAGCTGTCAATAACCTCACAGCCTTCATTACACCAGACTGGCGGTCCTATGGATATATGGAGAAACACATCAATGAAATTCACACTGCTGTGGATAAAGTAGAGCAGTTGCTGTGGGAGTACCTGCAGTTTGCAAAAGGATCAGCAGCCAATGCTTCCTGCCTATCTGAATTCAGCCTTCTTAACAAAATGAGGAGGGAGGTGCAAAGGCTGGAGGACTCTCACCAGATCCTTACCCAAACTAGTCATGACTTGAACAGATACAACTGGTCTTTGAATGTCCTGGCTGTTAACAGAGCACAGAACAAATGTGACGACCTGGATCGGTTTGTTATGGTGGCAAGGACGGTCCCGGACGATGCCAAGCAACTGACCACTACTATCAGTGTCAATGCAGAGGTGCTCTTCAAACAGGCATTGGGCGGCTCACGTTTCAAAAACATACCTGAGAATATAATGAACGCTCCCAACTGTGTCTATGACAATCCTCAGATGCAGCATCAGGGAGAGCAAGCACAGAACCCCTGCAGTTCCCTTCCTCCGCTCCTGAGTAAAGGTCAGCACCCATACAGTACCACCAGTGAAGGCTCGGAAAAGAGCTGGATGGATGACTACGATTATGTTCACCTGCAGGTAGGTCAACCCAACACCTTGTCCTGCAGAAGGCTGTGCAAGAGTTGTCTGTGTTTTTTGTAGAAGCTGCTTGCAAGGAAGTAGCAATCTATTGTCACAGTAACACATATTCAAGAGTAATTTCACCACGGTGATTCCTTCCTCTCAAATAGGGTTTTCCATATGTAATAATGATAGCTTTTTGCTCTGCCACGCCATCCTTTTATTTTCTGTACTCTTAGTGGTGCACTACCAGTGAAAAAGCCAATACAAAGCAGTCTGTTACTTGACCCGTGAGTTGTCATTTAGCTCAGGAGCAGTTTTGATTTAACACAATGTCTTTTGTTGTGTAAAACAGGGGAAGGAAGAGTTTGAAAGGCAACAGAAGGAGCTGCTGGAAAAGGAAAATATCATCAAGCAGAGCAAAGTGGAGCTAGAGCACCATCAGGTATGTTCACTTGGGTGCTACAGTCACACTGAAATGCAGTGTTCCTCACACATAGGGAGTATTGGTCAAATAAAGCAGGAGGAGCCCTTCCCTCAGCCACGTTCAAAGGCTGTAGTCATGTAAGCTGTGTATGCATGCCAGCACACACTGTGAAGTCCCATGTGGGGTTTGTGCCAGTCAGGCTCCATCATTAAGGGATTTATCAACATAAAAGACAAGGACATGCATTGTCACGTCCAAATGGAAACCAGTGAGCATCAAGACTTCTGCACCTTCCTGGCCCTCTACACCTGTGTCAGCATTTGCTTATACCAAAGAAATTTTAAGTATTTACTGCAGAGTAGTTATTCTGAAGATCAGCATCTCTGCCCCATTCATTTCCCTGATGCCACTTCACAATTGAGTGGAAGCACAGCCACAGGTCTCAGTGTTTAGAACAACATCTCTTATGGCAGGAATAAGCCTTTCACCTCAAAACAATTTTGAGTCATCTCAGTTTAAGATACTAATTGTTTTTTTATACAGTGCACCATTGCAGTGGGCCCAGTGCATACAGATAATAAAAAGCAGAAAGTTTAAAAACTCCAAAAGTTTACCACAGAGGAGAAGCAAACTGTGATGTCTCACAGCAGGGCAGTGGCAAAGCCAGCTTGAGAACTTAGCTTTCCTGACCTGCAGTTCAGGGCCTTAATCACTGGACCATGCTGAACACGCATTCTGCCTGCACATCTGTTCAGTGAACATCAATACCATTAACTTAAATGTTATGCTGAACATCACTTTAAAAAATAGGTCACATAAGACTAAGGGCTGTCACTTTTCCCTCATATTAATTCTTCAATATGTTGTTGCCATATCGTATGGCAGAAAACTGTACAAGCAATGAGGAGGTGAGAGTTAAAGGCTTTTCATCTCAAAATCCCACAGTGATGACAGCTTTTTAAAGATTGTGTAGGAGTCATTGCCACTTGGATCCATCTCTCTCACTTGTGATTTCAGAATACTCCAAATGAGCAACAGCCTGTAAATTCAGGAATTTGGGTTGTTTGGTGGTTTTTTTTAATGTAAATGAAGTATTTTTGATGTTTTTTCCTTCTGAACTCCATGTGTTTGAATTTATGGTAATCAAAGCCCTTGATCCTAGAAAACCTATTGCTATTTTATTTAGCGTAAGGTCAGTCTAGGATACTTGGGAGTATCCCGAGGCATAAGGTGAAATTGTTACACATAACAGCATCTTAGAAGAATACTCTCTGAAGAGAGCTTTTTTTTTTTTTTTGGCCTTTCAGATCAATCAGTTTCAACATCTGGAACAAGAGATCACCAAGCCAGTAGAGAACGACATCTCAAAATGGAAGCCACCTCAAGCTTTCCAGAATACAAACAGCACTGCCACCTCCCAAGACAGCCGCCTGCTTTTATTCTACTCTGACCAATGTGAGACTCATTTCAACTCCCTCCTAAATGCCATTGATGCCTTTTTCAGTTGTGTCAACTCTTCTCAGCCCCCCCGAATTTTTGTGGCTCACAGCAAATTTATCATTTTGAGCGCTCACAAACTTGTGTTTATTGGGGACACACTCGCAAGGCAAATGACAACTCAGGACATATGCAACAAAGTGATGAACTCCAGCAACCAGTTGTGTGAACTGCTGAAGAGTGTTGTTCTGGCCACCAAGGGGGCTGCCCTGAGTTACCCCAGCACAGCAGCCCTACAGAAGATGGTGGACCGAGTAACAGAGCTGTCTCATCATGCACAGTTGTTCAAACTCTCACTGGTCCAAATGGCGTCCTTATGAAACCCAGTAAAATCCAATCCGTGAGCAGCAAAACAAGAGCAGAGAAACTGGAGCTATTTTTATGTAAATGTTATCTTTTTTTTTAGATATTTTTTATTAAATATTTTAAATACATTCTTGTGCATTAGAGAGTCTAATTAAATCAGGGATCTGGGAATATTGTTTGGTTCTGTATCACGTTACTTATACACGTTTAGATTTGTATACACTGCATATATGTATATGTTGCTACATTCCCTAAAACATCAGTTAAGCACCTTAAGAGTTATGCGTCAGGTAAACAGTGCATATCTTTTGTATATACAGCCTGTTTCCTCAGTATATTTGTTAACTGGATGCTGCACTCTTCTTGTTTCATTCCATCTTGATGCTGGCACATGGACTTGGTTGTGAAACCTACTTGTAGCAATCCATGAAGCAAGTGTAATGGTTCTCATAGAACTCCATTCCCTTCTTAGAAATTACTTTCTATAGGTTAATTCCATGAAGTTTAACTCCTCTTGAGGTTACTTTGGTATGTGAAACATTTGGTCATTCTGACCAAGATATATGCACAATTACAAGGAGCAACATAACAAGCAAGGTGTACAGCATTTGGGAGAAGGCAGAATTGTTCATACTTACGGCATTCAGATTTCACTGTTTCTAATGGCTATGCAACATTGGATTTCAAAATGTGGATGGATTCCCAGCAGTGTAATTTCATACATTTTTACCAATTGCATTGGCAATTTAATTTAACAGTCAGGGTTGAAAGCCTTATTGTTTAGGGACTCGGTGTTATCCTGAGGGCATCTCAAGATCCACTGGGTTCATCTTTGAAACTGCGGATGAGCAATGTTTCAAAATACCAATCCCTTTCAGAGGGATTAACATACAAATTGTAATTTGTATGGAATGAAAAAAGCTTAATTTGAAATAACAGATATTCAAACATCTCTATAGCATACACACAATTTAATGAAGAAGTAGCACTTAATTTTCTAGGACATACTATTGGGAATTAATTGCATCTGTTGCAATTCTGACTTCTGTTCAACCACTGGGCTTTTTTTTTTCCAAATTCTGTTGCGTAGGTGCTGATCCTTTCTGCACTACACTGTTGCCAGAAAATGACCTCCTGTTTTAATGGGGCCATTCCATCAGTAAGTACACAGCTAGTAATTTTTAATGTAGACACTTATAAATTGTTAGCAGAGTGGTAGACTCCTTTAGAAATTTCATGTATGCTGGTTGCTCTAAAAGATGTATCGGCTTATTGGTCTTCATTGCCATTTGTGAACCCCCTGAAATAAGTCACAGAACACTGTTTGCCTGTGGTCCGCAGCCTAAAAGCCGTGCTTCAAAGTGAGCAATACCTCAGGTAAGTTCCAGATGATTCCGGCATTTTTAAAGCAGAAACACTACTCTCCTTGTACAATTCAAGGTAGCCCCACATTGGTATGTTCTGAGCACTTGACAGATCACTTGTAACTACATGATCATGAGGTCAGTAGCACCTGGAAAACAGGCACTTCTGCCTAACTCCTTACTTTACCAAGTGTAGCCAAACACGTGCCTTATTGAAATGGGATTTGTCGTCTTAGATAACAAAACCATTTCAGCAGTGTGCGAAATACTGCAGCCTTAATATATTGTCTTAGAATGAAGATCACTCTTCACTATCATAATGTCACTTCCAGAGTCTGCAGAATGTTTCCGGAAGGGCAGTGGAAGCCAGCACACCCCCAGCTGGCTCAGAAAGGGCTCCAAGGCTTGGCCTGGTATAACATCCCAGAAGGGCAGTTACACTATTGTAGCCCATAGCCAGTTGCCAAAAAGCAATCCATGTGAACCTGTTTTGTACTAGTGTTGTTTGGGATTCTTCTGGAGTTCCTTGTTCAGTTTTTTCACTGTATATTCTTAGAAAGTGAAAATACAATTTGAAGTCTAGTGTTTATGTTGATAGTTTGTGCTTTCCAAAGGAGAACCTTTATTGCAACCCTGTATTACAGTTTGTTATCTTGTAGAGAGTCATTTTGAAACGATTAAAATTACTAGCTTTTTCATATAAAAAGCCAACTTGGTCTAATTTTTTCTTGTTTTCAGAGTCCTCTAAGCATATTAAAAGGAGATGTTGCTAATTGCTAATACTATCAAAGCCATTCTAACATGAAGAATTCACTTTCCATCTTTTCACTGGTCCATGCTTATACCATGAAGTGAGAACTTGAGGGTTTAAGAGAAAGGGGCAGACAGGTTCTCTGCTGTCCAGAATAAGCAGGTGAAGCATTTATCCAACTCAGCTACACAAGATACCAAGTCCAAAATACAACCAAGGTCTACAGTATGCTGAGCCACGCTCCTGCCCCATTCCCAGTGTCTATTCCTGCTACGTAAGTGGTATCCCGAACCACCTCATCATAGCACAGACACTGGTTCTTCAGGTGAGTGGGGCAGTTTCTCTGAACACGATCCACAGTGAGGTGGGGTGGCAGGACAGAGATATGGCTGTCCACCCATTCTGGCCTGCTTCCCCTCTCTAGCTCTTACTGGTGAAGCCATGATCTATGCAGGAACTGAAAAAGCAATTTTGCTCAGTACAGTCACCCTTTGCCCCTGACCCAGTGGTAAGAGTACCTCTCTTCTATTACACGCCAAGTTGAGCATTATCTGAGTGTGGGTTCCATCTGAAACAACCTGGTGGCTTTAAGGATCACGGAGTCTTTCCTAAAAGTTACTTCCACATTTCACTGTTGCCAAGGCACTGCCTTACCGCCTGTCAAACATCCTGGGGTGCAAGGATGAAAGAAAAAGCCTGGAACTGGCTCTGTGCTTAACACCGGTTCTCGACTGCCAGTGAAAGATGTTTTTGCCAGAAAGTGTAAGAGCAATGAAACCCTTGAGAGCAAAGTACCTGGTTTGGCTCATCGTGTCCTCACAAGGGGACAGCTGGTTATGCAGGGTTGCTTCCCCAGGGTGCTCATTGTTGTTCCTCTGCTAAATTTAAAAAGGTCAACCAACAACAAAGGAGGGACTGGACAATCAAAATGGTTCAGAATAGAAACCAGAGCCTCTTTGCTCTCCACCCTGAGCCAGTGTCCCCATGCAGTTGCCAAGAAACTGTTGCTGTTTCGCAACCAAGTTGATGGCCAGTGTAAAGTGACTGTCTTATGTCCAGTGTGGAAAAACTGTCTGCCTCTCACTAGTGGCAAATGTGGAATACACATGACTGCTTAATCCAGACATTAAGTAATTACTATTTCATATTAATTAGAAACATGCTTCCTTTCTCTTCTGGGATGATGAGCGAGGGAGAGAGAGAATGTTGAAATGGGCAGGTTTTAGAGAAGTTATCAACTCATAATGATACCTCACAGGAGATAACTCACTGCACAACTGCCTGCTGCTACCTCTCCCATTTCTTGCAAACCAGGACTCTGCAGTTTCTGCGTTTTCTGTAGCTGTGCATTGCTGCAGCCTCAGCAAACCCATTACCTGTTATTCCAGCACAGGCAACAAGGCTGAAGGAAAACAAGTTCCCACACCATCACCTGATACTCAGTTACATCCCAGCATCTTCACATCCCCCATAACTTCTGGACCCTGGAGCTTTTGGCATTCTCTGACATGAACATCTGGGCTGTGTTTCAGAAATGTCCCTCCCACACCTACCACCAGCACTCTTGATGTTGCTACACCAGTAACACCTTCCCTCTGCCCACATGCCAAGCATCTGTAGCTGTTCTGCTCCAAATCCAGCTTTTGCATATTGAACACCCACTTCCAGGTTGCCTGCGCTACCTTAAACGTGCCTCAATCTAAAGGCTATAGAAAGTCATGGGATTTTCTTAACCCTCCCTTGCCATTTCTCCTCTCTCAATGTCCACAACATTGGTCCACATTTAGACAGGAACATTTCAAGGGCAAAGACAGGGTCATGCCAGTCTTGGAGGACAACAAAAAGTGTTCCTTCCAACTCCAAAATATGCCTGTTCCTTTCATCTCAACCTTTTACACTGGCAGTTTCAAAAGCAGCATATGCACATCACTCTTAAATCAATGGAGCCCTTTTTATGCTAGAAGGTTTTCCCATCTCAGAGATGGACGGTCCAGATAATGCAGACTTCTTTTTAATATATTTTATTGTTGTAATTTGCACCGAAATTTCATTTAAGACAGCAGCTTTCTCTGTCTGGGAACCCTGGATATCGCTCTGTGGCTTTTAAATATCAGAGTAAAGCTACAGTTTTATCTAGTGCTACAAAGTCCTGCCTAGAAATTCTTCTGACTTAAAGAGGACATTGAATCCAGGCTTGAGAGTACCTGGATAAAGTGAATGGCTGCAGGAGAAACATCTACTCCAGCCTTTTCATAAACCTGCTGACTTCAGAGAGAGCAAGACTGATGTGAAGTGTAACTTCCTGGGAGGTTGCATGAGGGCCAGCACAGACTCTTAGTAAGTTGTACCACCTCATTTTCCCTCCAATGTGCTGTTCAGAGGCAATTTTACTTTGCTTGAATTAGACCTAAATTTAAAGTGCATTTCACATCATTAGCAAGGCCTGACCATGCTGGACATATTGCCGACCTTGGGATCATTCAGAAAATGGAACTACATCATTCTCCATTCAAAAACTAAATATTTAGTTTTCAGTGGCTGTGAGTTACGCTGGGCATGAAATAGCCAGTCAACAGCCTGACCTCAGAGGAGATGCCTCCCCAGGGCATTGCTTTGATCCTCTGGGAAACTCAGATTAGGGTGCTCTTCATCCTACCACCTTCCAGGTCAGTGGCTAGGACCACTCAGGGGTGGTGTCCCAGAGCAAAGGACCAATGAGGATAGTTTCAGGGCACATCTGGGCATGCACACTGCTGGCTGCTGCAGAGCCCTCCTCTTCAGCCTCTCAGGGCAGCAGAAAACGGGTAGTTTCCCATTCCATGGCAAGCAGCAAGGGGACAAAAGCTCCTTGTGCCTCCTGATAAACCCATGTCTCAGAGACATGGTCTTTGCTTGTGGATGCTGTGACTTTCTGAACAGAAGATGAAATGCCCAGAGGGAGGGGCAATGCTGAGCAGAAGATCACTTTCCCATCTCTCCTGGGGTTTGATTTGCAAATAGTAACATACTCACAGCAATTTGTGCTTAAATTCTGTCTTCTCAGCAGACAATGTCAGTATCAAGCTTGGCTCAACCCACAACCAAACTGCAGTTTGCTTTCTTCTTTCTGCACCTCTCTGGGTTTAACTTCTGGCCTTGCACCCCCACAGGCAAAGTCCATCGAGTCAATGTTCCTCATAGGAGCTCACCTTGTTGCTATTGACTAAACTCATTTCCATGAGTCCTCTGAGTCCCTGCCAAGGGTGAAACCCAGTGCCTGGGAAACCAGTGTCCAAGGAGCACTGCTGCAGCTGCAATGGACTCGGCATCCGTATCACCTCCCTGACAGGGGTTTCTTTTTCTCTGCTGAACACCAAGAGACAGGATATCTTTTTTTGTACATGCAGCAATTTGAGACATCGGGCTGACTTATGGCAAAAACAGAAGCAGGGAGCACGAAGTATCGGGTCTCCAGGAGACACGTGAAGCTCATTTCATCTGCAGCGTGCTGCCTCGGCTCAGCAGC